TTATCTTGACTGTTTACGGAATGTATCGCGTGTAAGTTTTGCGCGCGAATGACATCTTTATAGACATAATTTCGAGGAACAAACCAGCTGGCATAATGATACCGGGCTTAAGAGCGATATAAAGTGCGCGCGCGCGCACATATTAGGATCTATTAATATGCAGTCGGTGCAAGTCAGACGGTTAGACGGTTCTTAGTTACTTGTCACACATTAGCTGCCGTCCGACGCGGCAGACAACTTCCCGTCCGTCGTCCTCACGACGGACACACACGACGAGACTTCTCTATTCGTCTGTCAACGATCTCCTTCACGTCAGCATATTCCACTGTTCACTGACAGCTTAAAGGGAAAACGGCTTTCATAAACGCACTACCCACCCCGGATGATTCCCCAAAAGACAGATCGCTGTATTAGAACATTCCCCTTGGTCTGTATGAAGACCAAGAGAAATGACACGTCGTGCATGCGAACACGCCGCGTAATCCGTGTAATTTTTATACACCTGTGAACGATATATAATCCTATCTGTCCAATGCTGAGCTTTGGCGTTACTCCAATATCCTTAAGCTTCGTCCAATTCCCAAACGATCGTAACTTACGATCAAATGTCTCCGCTTTCTTCGATATTACTTTGCGATGAAATATCATTTCTAATAATTTCCCTTCCCACTTCCTTTACACAATCAGAAAATGTGCGTGGTGGATTAAAAAATCTTTTACGATTATTATTTTAATCGCACGTTTTTAAATGTATTTCTTCAACGTCATTTACAGAAGAAATATGATTTTAGAAATGTATAATGCAATAGTATTTACGTAAATGCGAATGATTAATAAATAATAAATATGTAAATCATACATTGTAGTCTAGGAATAATATGAAATATTTCAATAAGTGTTTTGCATTATTAAAATAAATTTAAAATAATTTTTCTTCCATTGTCTTCGCATCGTTTCATAATGATAACGCTTATTTTCAAGTTTAATTCGTTACTTTTTTCAATAACTTAATTCAAGTAAATCGATACGATTATATCGGTTATATTTTCAAATAAACTGATATGATTTATAAGTGAATAAGAGAGAGAGAGGAGGGGGAGGGGATGAAAAAAAGGAAAGAAAATAACCGAGGAAAGAGCCGCGCTTTTTTATTACGTATCTATTTCTATCAGTTACTGAATTTTTAATATTTTCATTAAAAATGCAAAGGAGATTAGATCTTATTTATATAAAATTTATTATGGAAATGTCTAGATACACGTAGAATTATTCATTTTATGAAATTTTAATAAATATGATTTAAACGTCTTACTGAAATTCATTGCTGTATGAATATTTTTTACACCTACTGTAATTTTGTTTCTTTAGATTAATCGCTTTATCTGTTTAATACAACGATCCGTTGATACAGTGGATGCTCATATTTTCGTAGTATGTACAGCATTAAGATAACAGCGAAAGAAATGTAAATTGATTTGTGAATACTGCGTTTCATACTTATGATTCATGAACGTTCGTTATGTCTCTTTGAGGACGAAGGCCGACTGTAATAAGAAGCGGTAATTTCCGAGTCTTGGTCAGGAGAAATTATCTATGCTCAGTTACGATACGTAAAAATATTAAATATCATTAATATAATATCTGTTAGTTAAGTAATATCACGTCAAGTATTAACTGATCATAATTTTAACATTATTGATATGATGCATAAAATACGACGAATGTATTAAAAAATCCAATTAACGTTTAGTCATTGCTTTACTTATGACTGTATTTATCATGTAGGTATGAGATGAAAAAAATATTTGCAAATAGAATAACGAAAGCAGAAAAAGACGTTCAATTTGATATAATAATACAAAAAATGTAAATAATATGGTTTCCGTACAAAGTAAAGAAATATGTATCCTCTAATTTTAAGTTTACTCTCTAGAAAGTTTTTTTGTTAAATTTTATGGAAACACATATTGCAATTATTTTGTGAAATAAAATAGTATTATAGATACTAATACGTATATTGTTTTTTATCTGCCTTATATTAGCTAAAGTTTCGTTTTTGTGTATTGTGCGATGTAGAAAAACTTTGACAATCAGTGAAGTTGATGACAGACTGAATATTTTTTTAATTATCTTAATATTTTCTTAAATCATTCACCCATCCTATTATATACTGATTACTCATTTTATTTATACAGTCTAGACAGGCGTAGATAATTAAATACATTGATGTGTTGTGTGGTAAAAAGAAAATTTGACACATTTAATAAGCGGTAGTTTATCAAATCTTTTCCGCTGCATTAAATCAAGAAGAATCTGTTAAGAGAAAATGTGACGAATTATAATTAGCGTATTATTTAGACAAATGTTGGTACATGACTAGACTTATCGTTACCACGATATCCGCAGACATTTTCGATTTTGCTTCTGACTCAGCAAGAAACCGGCCTGTCACGTACACGCGCCAGGAATGAGACGCGCTTTATGTTGTTTTCGAGATGTTCCAACTATTCAGAGAGTACAACAACAGGGCGAGAACTGTGTGGAAACTTACAATTGAAAAAGTTGGGCAAATTAAGACCACCCGTTCGGCGCCACCTCCGATATGGAAGCGTTATTGAAATTTCATTCGTCACGCGACTATACCGATATATTTTCCACGTATCTACGAAATACCGTTCTGAAAAATATTTTCCACGGTTTCTCTACGAAATATACGTTTTTATCGGTGAGGTTAAGCGTGTCCAGCATTAAAGGTTTCCTGTTTAGACGTGATGTCTGCGAGTGGTACATGTACCAAATGGATACACGGATGTCAGGTACGTGGATTCAGTAAAATCAAGCGGTTTATAGTAACGTGTTCTTATCCCCTTTCACCTCTTTCCCGCGATTTGAAGAAGTTCTGGTTATGTTTAATGGGAAAAATGTAAATCTTTCCGATAAACTTTATGATCCCAGCTAGAAACCACCGCGCCTTATAAATTTTCTCCGTTTGACAGTCCATATTGCGTAAGAATTTTACATGTGTAGTACATGTCATCGCATAAAAATTAAATTTGATTTTTACATTTTTTAATGTTAAATAATTATTTTAATATTTATACATATTCTATTGCTGACATATTTATTGTTTTACAAAACGACACTGTTGCGTTTAAAGTCGCGTGTAAAAATTATACACCGTCTTTTCAATTTAAAAAACCTTAGTACACATTTTATAGCACGTTTTAATTTTATCGTTTAGATTGTGATATAAAGCTTAAAATCAACGTCTCGTGTGTGTGTCGGATAATTGCAAGTATTTATTAGCAAAAGTAATATGGTGTAAAGATCACTGAAGATCCAATCGCGAAATGCGAAGCGGCGTGTATTACAACCGAACGATCTTCACGTAAAGTGTAATTCTCGTACGATTTAAGCGTACTCGAAAATGCGGCGAGAAGAGCTTACGGTCGAAGCATCGGATAGCAAGATGGAAGCGTTTTATCGGCCGTTTCTTAGGCTCGCTTTGATGTTACGCCGAGACAGGTCCGTTTATCGAGGTGGATCCCTGAAGAGGCAGAAGCGCGCGTTTCAGCCCGACGGAAAGTGCTTGTGAATCGGGTTTCCAGTGCATTTAGTGGACTGACTGTATTATGGAGAATACCGAGATTAATCTCGAAATAGATTTTCGCATCTCATACCGCGATACCGCGTTTCGAGTAATTTACAGGCGTTAATTTACAAAATTTACTCCTCCTCCATCGCGTTTTTATAACCGATTCATAGTCGATTTGAGACTGTCTTAAGATGCGTCGTAAGTTAATCAGATTTTATAGCCGGTATTCATAGTCAGTTCTTATTTCAAGTATATCTTAAGTAACGTCTTAATACGGCCCTTTGATTGGTTCGTGACATTTTATGACTGTACTTACTACTCAAGGACTGTCTCGAATACAAGACTCGGCCAGAGGGCTGTATTAGCATCTTAAGATACTTATACTACGCATTACTTAAAACGATCTATAAGAATCGACTATGAATACCGCTGAGACGCCCTGTAATAAGTCTCATATCTGCGTAATCGGCACTGCGACCTCGCGTCGCGTGCGGAGTAAGTAATTGTGCGAATCTTTCGCGAAATGCCGTTACGACGTCGATAAACGCGATAAATCGTCCGAGTAATCGTCGCTCTGTTTTTCTCACGTATCAGACTAGTTCCAGCATCATCCTCGCTTGTGCCGCGTGCCGTATATCGTATATCGTAAACCGTTACCGTATCTCCGAAGCGTGCTTTCTTATCGCGTTATTGTTACTTCGAACTACCGTCGTGAGTCGTGTAACTTTGGCTGGATACAGTTTGCTCTGAACTTGTGTATACGTGGATCAGGAAAAGGACGAGAACTTTTAACTGTAACTGTGTGAAAGGGATTGTTATTAAAACGTCTGACTAGACGTGGTTTTTTTTTTTATAGTTGAAAGAAATTTATTGCGTTGTACACTTCCGCGTACTTTTCTGGATATCGTGTTTTGTGGTTTTATATTTTATAGGAAACGTTTTACGAAAAATATTTGATAAGAAGTTTTATTTTGTATTTTACAACGAAGACTATCACTCTTTGCAACATACATTGTGTTTTGAATCGTTTTACGAACACAATAACGCACGATTGTCTCGCCTAACTTGAAGCGAACTAGAATAACATACATTTATAATATATTTCATAATTAAGTTTAATGTTTTGATTACGAAACGTACACGTCTCTAACATACCAAACTTTTCCAAGATAAATTTCTTTGTTTATCGTAGAGTATTCTTTCTATCGATCTCCCATCAGTCGTGTCTAAAATTTCAAAAGTTTCATCGCTTCCTTCGTACCGTTTGCGAATGTAATTGTACGTAAAGCGATTGTTGAAAAGCGATTGTCGGACCTGAGCAGAGGGTTAACACTACCGTGTTACATTCCAAACGAAGATAATCTCTCTTATCCAGACTAATCCTTCGGAAAAGAGTATCACTTACGGATATTGCCCGCGACAGTTCCAATGGGATTGGTCAACAGAGGCCTCTGGACAAGATCCTCCTCGAGATGAGCACGACTCGGTCGGGCCTGCTTTCTCCGTGACATCCCTCCGACTCGGTTGAAATCAGTTCGCCGCACTCCTCGTCGCTCTCGCACTCTGTCGAAGAGGCGGCAGTCGTCGTCCGCCGACGGTTTGGATCGGGTCGAACGACGGGTTGGAACGACCGCCGTTGCACTCGTTTTTGTGGATCCTCCTCTTTCTCTTCTTCCTCCTCCTCCTCCTCCTCCTCCTCGAAATCCCGACGAAAAGCAGACAAATGCGTGGTCAGTCTAGACGTCGCCGACGGGACAACAACGGCGGTTGACGACGTCGCTGTAGCGTCGAGGATGCGAACCGCATGTCTTCCTCTGTCTCTTTCTTTCTTTTTCTCTCTTTCTCTCTCTCTCTCTCTCTCTCCCTCTCCCTCTCACTCTCTCTATTTCAATTCCGTGGGTTCTGCGCGACAACCGGAGCCGAGAAAAACGCAACGATCGTTATTCGCGTATCTCACCATCGGCACTAACTATCTAGGGGAGACGCATCTCCCCACGAACCGTAGCGACGCACTTCGCGAAACGTTTCATACATGGATCGTCGCCAAAGGAGAGTTACTCTCGCCCGCCGGCCGGTGATCCATAGAGCGTGTCAACTCGGCCAGTAATCCATAGAGGTTAAAACGCACCGATCCCTCTAACCCATCCCCCACCAGATGGGATGCGCGGACGGAGGGCAATTTCTTCCTTCTTTTCCTGCAAACCCGCCGAAGGAGTTTGGAGCTGACCGTCTGAGACGTCTGAGACTCTTCCGAACACCGAGATCTCTCTCTCTCTCACTCTCGTTTCACTCTTACATCGACGAATCGTGGATGCTTCTCCGTGCACGACTCGCACGTGGCCAATCCTCCCTTTCTCTCGTTGCTCCGAAAGTCCTTCTTTCGTCGCTGCTGCCTGCTCCGAATCGCCTCGCAGTTTTCGCCACCACGCAATCGCTCCACAGCACACACTCGATACTCACGTTATTACCGCTCGTCCGGCGTATATCGCGACTGTTTGACAACTGTTTGAGACCGGCGGCATTCCCGGCGCGCGGCAGGCAGGCAGGTAGGAGATGCCCGAGTGCGACCGTAAGAACGCGTAACTGGGAAACAAAAAGAGCCTCGTGTAACGTAACGTGGTGTAATGTACGTGTGCACGATGTGTGTCCTACACCACTGCTCACATATCGGCCGATACCCCGATATTACACGTGTGCGGTGACCGGCTCGGCTGACACGACGACGGACTTGCGAGCAAGCGCGCGCGCGCGCGCGGATACGTCACCAGGGTGTGTTGTGTACGTGTGTGTACGTGTGCGCGCGCGTGTACGTGTACGTGTATGTATGTGTGTGTGTGCGTGTGTGCGTGCGTGTGCGTGCGTGAGATCGCGTACGTGTACGCGTGCGTGTTTATGAGTCTATATCTCGCGCGAAATCCGCTGCTCCGAAGCTTCGAGTCGGCCGGACGACGGACGGACCAGCTCTGGGCCTGACAACCAGACGCCCCTCTCCGCCGCCGGCGAGACGCGACCGCTGGTAGGGATAGAGGAGATATACTCTGCGCGCGCTTTCGCCCCCACCGTGAGTGCAAGCACCGTCACCCTCCCCGCCATGGCTGGTCGTCCATCCGCTCCCTACTCCTGTCGCGCGCGTCCCCACTCCGACTCCCGCTCCCGCGACGGCGACGTCGCGTCGGGCGCGCAACCTCCTTCGTGATGCGCCCTTCTCCATGCGCCCGCGTCGCGTCGCGTCGCGTCGCGAATGCAGGGAGATCCACCCTTGGTGCACGAGACCAAGTCGATCTCCACGCGTATTGTACTCCTCGCACCGGATAATAACGCATGCACTTCCGCGCGATCGTTCCCGCGTGTATTTCTTTGGAAGATGATGGAAACCACCGATGGTCAACGGTGCGCCGATATATCGGTCTCGTAGGTGTCTGCGTGGTACGAGGGCTCAATAATATTGGACGGCTTGTACCTAGATGAGTAGAGAGAGAGAGAGAGAGAGAGAGAGAGAGAGAAGGTAAGATGCGTTTTTCACTGATCTTGTCGATTTCGCGACCGCGACTCCAGGATCATACAAGGGCCGCTGACGCGCGCGGCGAAGCGTGATCGAATGAGCCGGTGAGCCCTCGAAAGGGACGCGCGAGAGAAGAATCCTTTCGCGGGCTCTCTCCGCGCGCGCCTCGTTCGCTCGCTCCACCGTTGTTCGCTTCCCCTCGCTCCGGTGTCGCTCCGTTTCTCGTCCTTCTCTACCTGCACGATCCGTCTTTCTCTCTGTCTTATTCCCCTTCCGGCGGATGCTCGATATCCCCACCGTTTGGCCGCGGGATCGCGAGGCGTGGCCTGTCCCGGAGGAGTGCCCGCCTCCTTATGCATTATTATAGCGAGCCACTCGTGTCTCTATGATTTTATATGCCGCGTTTCAGCGTGAATATTCTAGCGCGCTTCCACACACACACACACATACACACACGGTGCTCTTGGCGGGTTCCCGGGTTCCCGCCACCACCGCCGCCGCCGCCGCCGCCGCCGACGCACCGCACCGCACCGCACCGCACCGATGCGCCGACGATATCGTGTGTTTTATGCTGCCCAATTATTTTCTCGTTCCACCGTTGCGCTCGATCCGGCCGTTCTGGTGATTGTATGCAGGACGACGAGCGAAATGCAGGAAAGATCGTAACAAGTGCGTTGACATTTCTGCAGTGTCGCCTGCGAATTACTCGTCAATTGAGATTTTTTTTTTTTTTTTATAAACTCTCTTGAGAAGGCATTCGCATTCAGTTGATGTAATTACTAATTACACGTACTAAGCGAAGATTATTGGTTCAAAATCGACTATCCAATCTAAACGAGCAAAATATTCCGATTACTTACGCTCGTTAGCATATTTAACAGATATATCCACGAAAAAAGAGAAAAAAAAACAAGTTGATGTCTAATTTTATTTCAGATTCTTTTGTCATTAGTAATATTAAACAAAATAATAAAAGCGTTTTAATGCCAATACTATGATGTTATTTTATTTTTAGTACTTTTGGTACTAATTGGATATCTTTTATTGATTGTTTAAAAATCATTGAGCACAATAATTACCATTGTAAATATACGAGAGAAAGAGAGAGAGAGAGAGAGAGAGCGAGGGGTAGAGGAGGAGAGGGGGGGAAAGACTCTCATGAAAAATGTCATTGAACGTAATCGCACGAGAATTCGTATTTTACTGAAATTCTCGATACGCTCAGTCACATCTCGTCATATCACGTAGCATACAAATGCCGAGAGAACAGGTGGGTTGTGGACGATTCAGACGAGAGACGGGACGGGAAGGAAAGGACTACGGCAAAGGCTGCGGTAAAGCGGCAAGTAGAAAAGCGGGGAGGGGGCGTGGGGAGTTAAATTGGGGTAAGGTGAGAAGACCAAGACCGAGTAGATGGGGTATGCAGCAACGGTTCGTATCTCGGTCCTACGTATGAATAAGGCGCCGACTATGGACTCTGCCATGAGTTCCTCCATTGTGCTAAATACAACTATAAGCTAGCGGCGTGGGATCCTCCCACATAGCGTTTTAACGATCGCTGATTTTGCCCAGTTAGAACGGAATTCTATTTTTTATTCGCATATTACGCATCACTCATCGTGCAATTAAATATGAATCCTGAGAACCTTCCTAACCGATTTTTATAATGAATATAATATAATATTATATTTTGTTTATAATTGTAATGAAATAAAAACGATAACGAAACTTAGAAAACCAACTAGAAAGAAAATTATGATGATATAGAATTCATTAGGAAAAGTTATTATAATCTAGTCAATTTATATTATAGTTATTTCCATATATATTTGTACGAAGATTGATGTATCTCATACGTTCCTTATTCTAATATGCAATTTATGTTTTTTTTAATAATATAGAGATATGCCAATTCTGAATGTGTTCTTTTTATAACTTCCCGTAACTAGACTTTTCTCTTGTTCAAGTGGAATGCCGGTCAATTTTAAAAACCTACATTTTATTCGTGATTCAATTGCGTTTACTTGAACTTGCTTTCTTCATATACTATTTTTATTACAAATTAATCATTATAAGCATTATGTTAATTTCCTAATTTTTACAGGCATTAACATATTGTGTAGTCAGTAGATATTTTATAAGTGTTATATTTTCTCCAGTAGACATTATATTTATAAAATAATATATTGACTGACATATTGACTAATATGATGAATTGTACACACTGTTAAAAATAAAAAAAGTACAAAAAGAATGTTAATTTTAACATTTTTGCATATCTCAGAAAGTCCATCTTTAAGTACATCTTTAAGTACATTTTATTTTTAACAGTACACCGACAAATGTCACAGAAATAATGTAGATATGTATTTAAAAATCAATTTCATTGAAGATTTTGTGCAAATAATAATTAAAGAAAAATATAAAAATACTCATAAATTTTAAATATAAATTATATAAATGTCATGAATATTTATTTATTCGTAGGTCTATTAATTTTTATTGATCTACACAATGTGTCATCGTTTTAAAACTGTAACCGTATAACCGCAATTCCACTTGAGGGCCATTAAAATAAAAAAAGTATGTGTTCTCTTTTCTGTTTTTCGAATAGGTTTATTGTCCTCTCCGACTCATAATTTTTGCGTAAAGATCTTAGGGGCTATAATGTGCGGTGAGACCCGAGAAAAGGGTGGTCGGTTGTCCGTCGTGGACAAGCGCCGGCGCCGGGTCTGACACCTGCAGTGAGCATTTTTCCTTCTAGGATTAGTATAGGTACCTGCCTTACGCTTTTTTCACAAACACGAGAAACTTATACGTGTGCATTTTCTCGTACACATCCTATACCTGTTCAACGTTGATTGCTCCGCTATGCATCGTACAATAAATTGTAATAAACGATGTTAATTATGCTGAGAAATATCGAATATTCCTCCTGTCACAACTACTGTTGTACGTATAGATACGTATCAATTTAATATGTACGAGTACAACTTATTTTATATGTACAACTAGATTGCACATATAAATTTCCGAATAGCTTTACGAGTGTGTAAATTATTTCTTTATCCACAAATATAAGTAATATACTATTTATTTTAATACATTTTAGAAATACATTTTCCGTTAAGTGTTTAAAGGAATATGCACGATATAATGAAAAGCCATTAAAAAAAAAGTGATTTCATTAAATGGAAATTAAAGTGTTCATGTTTCTTCGATCATTTTTATTTTATCTGCAATAGATAATCTAAAATATTAGTTTTAGTCAAATGTAAACATTCAAATATATTAAAAAAACGTGTATTTTATTAGAATAAAATTTATTAGAATAAATATACTCCGATGTGAATGATTTTGTGTATCCCGCGAACAATTCTGTATCTGTAAGTATCTGCTTTCGCTTCTATATAATAGATTTGCACCTAATACACTTGACCGAGTCGATTCCCGAGGATCGTGGTATTAAAAGGCCGCAGAAAATCCACCGCAGCAGGTGGCGATCTCTCTCTCTCTCTCTCTCTCTCTCTTTCTCTCTGTGCACGGAGGCATTAAAGCCATTCATAGTGGAAGGGGAATCAGCAAATTGACGCCGTTTAGATTGCGCTGCATTCAATTAGGTTGCGGAGGCGCAGCCGGATAAAAACGCGCGTATACTCGCGGACGTCCTTTTATCATCCGGCACGTTCATTTAGATTTGTTCATTCTCCGACGTGCCACCCGCTGGTGGACTGCTTCCAAAGAAGCGCAGCGCGAGGTTTCCGTCTCTTAATTTCGATGGAAATGAAGCGATTCCGCCGATCTCGCGGCAGCAAAATCACCGAATCGTTTTAATTCGCGCAGTGGATTATCACACGGTCCTTTTATTAGCATTACTGCATTAATGTTTCCGCTTAGCTATTAGATGTATGTCTTGTTTGCTTAATTTCTTTATGTTCGGATTTTCATTAATGATAAGTTACTCGTTGCTTTCCAAGTTCTTTCTGCATATATTTTATTTATGGAATATGGAATATATAAGTATATCTACTCTTTTCAGAGTTTATAACATAAGTAATAGTTAAATTTATAAGGTTACAAATATAAAATTTTTCAGAATAAAATATTTCAAAAATATTTTTTTTTTAATAATAGTTAAAATTATATATGTGTATTATATCTTCGAGAAATTATATATATATATATGATATATTTATAATATAGAATCTTCCAGTAATATTTTATTTGTTTGATAAATACACTTTTATTTTAGAATCGATTGAGGCAAATATGGAGAATTAGAAATTTCTCAAATCAAATCTACAGATTGATGACTTAAGTCCTCAAGTTTGGTTGGACTTCCATACGTTGAATCTCAGGATGCACAACTGGCATACTCGAAATACTCCAGCTCCCAATGTGGAGTCCGCAACGGTAGAAAATAAACGGGAGATGGAGGAATGGGAGAGT